CTTTGAGCTAGTCCCAGGAAACAACACTGCAGAATTATTGTGTGGTGTGCAAAGTTAAAAACGAAGACATTTTGAGATTTGCGAGAATTAAAAATCACACGACTAGATCTTTCGTCTACCTGGTAGGTGAAGTTCAGGCTGCGGTCTCTGTATCTAAAATGCATTACATTTCACATGATGAAGCTTCAACTGTTATTTATAACCAGGGGTCATTGGTATCACTCGTAACTTTTTATGATTTATTTTGCACTTTCAATTTTCAAAAAACATTAAAAAATAATTTTCTCGATGACATGAGTGATGTTAGAAGGTGTGTTTCTGCACATCCAATGGTGGTTTGCCATAGTTGAACTTAATTTTGTTATTTTTGAGAATACGTTTGGATGCTAAAGTGAATGGATCTCATTTTTCATAACTGAATTTGAAGATCCATTTTCACGTTTCCTGCAATGTTCCATCAACCTTATAAAGTTGGTTTTGCTGCTCTTACAACAAGTCACCATTTTCTCTGATCTATATTCTCAGAGGATGCTTTGAAAATTCCCAATTTCACCTGCCCATATCTATCCGTGAAAAAAATATACCTAGTTGCATATTTTAGCATATATTTTAGAATCTAGGAATTCACCAAGGTAATGCTTAATAGGACAAACACTTGCATTAATTTAGGTATTCTGGTTAAATAGCACATCACTGCAGTACTGAATGCCATGTGTATTTGTTGTGCAAGTTCCATAGTGAACAAATTACCTGTAGGCAGTATTAACAGCAAACGTTGTATTATACCAATTTGACAGCGTTCTTCCTGAAGACTTCCTTTACTTGCTCCAAAGATACTATTCTCTGACATGTAGATACAAAATTGGATGAAAATAATATAAAAATAAATACAACAAGCTAGTGAATATATATTTTTTTAAGAAGCAAATTCACAAATAAAGAGAATAAACTAGTGGTTACCAGTGGGGAGAGGAGGTGGGGAGGGGCGATATAAGGGTAGGGGATTAAGAGTACAAACTATTGGATATAAAATAAGTTACAAGGATACACTGTACAACACAGGGAATGTAGCCAATATTTTATAATAAGTATAAATGGAGCAAAACCTTTAAAAATTGTGAATCACTATGTTGTACACCTGTAACATATAATACTGTATAGCAACTATGCTTCAATTTAAAAATTTTTAAATCAAATCAAGTAAAATGATAGGTGTATGTATATATATTTTATACATATGTATAGGTGTATGTATATATATACATATATATAATATATGTATGTATGAGAGAATGCAAAATTCTGCCAGAGACATAGGATCCTAGAAAAGAGTCAAGATTAGGACATCTTTCACCCCTTTTGCCAAATTGAAGGATAAGAATATTGCAAAGTCTGGGTTGAGACTGTTTGGTGCAAAGTCAAACCAAAACCAAAACCTAAATGAATGTCAGAGAGAAAACGTATCATAAAGAATTATTCAGACATCAGTGAGGTTTTTAAACAATAAAAATTTAACAAATGTACAATTAGTAACTGCAGTTTTTGTCACTTATCAATCTTTGAAAGATAGTTTTACTGATGATGAAACCTGAGCATGGAAACTTACAGAAGCTTGTCCAAAGCCAGGTGCATCTTATGTTCTTTCCGTGGGACCATCTCTGCCCTCTTCAAGCCTCTTCCATCTGCAGCATTTCTTTCACTTTGACTGATTACCAACTCAAAATCTGGCCAAATCTTTTCTAGAGAATGATATAATTTTGAAGTTCAGCGACATCTTAGAAGTTTTCTAGAACGAAATCCCACCCAATGTAGCAATAACACCATAATTTTATCTGAAGAACGCTCTTTCATCCTTGATCTAAACGTGTCACGTTACAGGAAGTAGGGTATTTCAAAAGGTCATTTGTGGACAAGCAGAAGTTGCATTATTTCATTTACTATCTCCGTCTGTTCTTGCTTCTGCTTTACAGCACTATTTAGAAAAAAAAATCAATCCTTCTTATACATGCCTGTAAAACATTACGGAATGGCTAAATCATTTCTTTTCTGGGCTAAACATCTTTAGTTTCTCAATCCACTCTTGTGCCAGGAGACACTGAGAAAGGCTTCTATTCAGGCCAGGGAGCATATTAGTCATTTGCCAGGTAACAATCTTTTCTTTGCCTGGAAAATAGGAGTTTTATAAAATGTCGTGTGAGTAATTTATCTAAATCAAGACTAATGAATATGCAGTTAGAGTTACATAATGAATGCAATCATGTATACATACGTGTACATTCATACATATACTTCTATAGAGAGGCTATATCTACTCCATCTAGGTTATCCAGATCATGTAAAGCTATTAACTGAACCCTCAGTCCCCACTCTCAATATCAATTTACAATATTTTTGAATTTTTTTTTCCTTTTAGGATTACCTGTATGACTACATTTTCTAAGTCCTATTGAAAGAATTACCCAGTGTGGAAGACCATGGCCCTTATGTCTTTATATATAATTAATTCCAGTTTTACAAAGAGTGAAAACAGAATTACACAGTGACAACAAAATCAATAAAAACAGCTATAACACAGCACTGCCTTATCTGATTGTATCAGTTTCCTGAGGCTTTCCTAACAAAGTATCACAAACTGGGGGGCTTAAAACAACAGAAATGTATTTTCTCACAGTTCCGGGGACCAAAAGTTGTTGGGGAGAATCCTTTGCCGCATCTTTCTAGTTCATGGTAAAAAAATTTTTTTGATCAATTCTGTGTGTTTCTTGGCTTGCATTTGCAATAATTCAATCTCTGCTTCTGTCATCACACAGCGTTCTCCCTGTGTCTGTGTGCAAATTCTCCTATTTGTATAAGAACACCAGTCTTACTGGAGTAGAGGCCCATCCTGCTCCAGTGGGACTTCACCTTAACAAATTAATCTGCAGTGATTCTGTTACCACGTCCAAACTCATTCCACTCACCACACAACAGGCCAATAAATCAGAAGACGAAGTCGTGGGGAAAGAAATAACAATTTTATTTGGAAAGCCAGCAGACGGAGAAGATGGCAGACTCATGTCCTGGAGAACCATCTTCCCCAAGGCAGCATTCAGGCTCCTTTTATACTAAAAAGGGGAGGGGGTGTGGTTGGTTGTTGCAAACTTCTTGATGTCAGAATCCTTCGTTCTTGCAGCTGTGCATGTAGGTCAGGCTATGATGTCCCTGTAATCCTCCAACAAGATGCATGTTATTCTCTGCTCTGCAACTTTTTATCTTTATATGAATGGGAAAGTTTCCCACCCTGAAGATGAGAGCCTTGAGAGTGGGCTCTCCTGCCTATGTCAGGCAATAGACAACATTCTTTTACAAAAGGTGCAGAAGCAGCGTGACTCAGCACAGGAAACAGCACAGGGTTAGAGCTAAAGGAACAGATCTAACATGAGGTCAGATGTGTTCTTCCTTGCTACAATCCTATTTCCAAGCAAGGTCAAATTCTGACGTATGGGAGTTAAAATTCCAACATATCTTTTCAGAGGCCACATATCATCCTCTAACAGGATATTTCCTCAGGGCAGGCTGTTTTGTACTGAGTAAGAAAGCCCTAGATACATGTGGTTGACAGTTATGAAGACTTCTCTCTTTTCCATGCTAACTGCTAATATTCTGCTCATCAGTCACTTAGGAAACTAGGCTGATGGAGTAGTAATCATCCCAAAAGTTTCCAGTCACGGTGCCACTGTTCCAATCACCAGTAGCCACGGAACATTAATCAGCCCGGGGGAGCCAGGAGTGTAATGCCACAATTTGACCAGAGAGAAGTGGGGTCAGAACTAATAGCAGATGCTTTCAGCCACAAGGAACAGAAAACATAGCTAATATTAGCATAAATCTTAAGGTCATTTTCTCTTGCGTAGCAAGCTTCACAATGATTAGAAGTCAAAGGGTTGATTTGTCACCTCGTTGCTATGTTATCAAGATCCCAAGAGTCGTCTATCTGTATTGATTTCTCTTTCTCTCTCTCAGTCTCTCTCCCTCTGTTTCTCTCTCTTTCTCCCCAGTCCCAGAGCTGGGTGTCATCCTTAAACAATCACCACCACAGAGGAACTAGGGTTGCCATGATTAGCTTGGACCCATTCTGATATGTCCCTTAAGGCCAAGGATGTGGCCACTCAAACTAAATTAGTATTGTTTGGAAGGACAGAGGGAGTGAATTAGTGAATTGCTGAACAGATGTTTGCCACAAACAATGATGAAGTTCAAATTTAAGCTTTATCTTATTTTATTATTATGCAATGGATGAACACCTGGGTAAAAAAATAATTTTTCTCAACTTGAATTTTTAGGTTACTGAGAAATAAATACTATTTGAATGTGTGCTTTAGTTGCCAATATGCCAATTTAAATGTGTTTAATAACTGTTTACCAAATAATAGTAATAATTATTATTTCTTCCATGGGCATAATATTTATTATGTGTGTTGTACATTTTCTGTTGTTTTGCAGAAAACAGCAAGGTCATAATTAAGTCATGGAGAGGAAATTATCGCATGCCATTATTAAAAAAAAAAAACAGACATAAGTGACTATTAGTAGGACTGAGGTGGGATTTTCCAACCCAGAACAATGCATTTTCCACTACTCCCTGGTGCCTCCTCCTCTTCTTATCCTTTGTCCATTTCCATAGTAATTTAGTCTCAAGAATAAAACCCATAGGACCAATTAAATAACCTGTGCGGTTAATCTTCAGATTTCCCCTGAGCCACAGCACAACTGAAATGACAGACTACTATTTTGGAAATAATTGAAATTTCAAGGAAATAAACTCTATCAAATACTTTTTTGTGTTTCAAATGAGCAGGTAACATGCCAAATAGTGATATATAGAGACTAAAATATGTCTGAATTCAAAAGACTTTATATTGAAAATCTGCTTTTAAAATGCATTCGATATATATGTATGTATCAATATAGATACATGTGTGTATGTATTTATATAGAAAGTGTATGTGTATGTGTGTGTGTGTGTGTATATTCTGCAGCTTGGTGCGGATGGACATGATGACTTGGCCAATGTGGACCCTGGCCACCGTGCCCTGGGGCTTTCCAAAGGCACCCCGCATACCCATCTGGAGCCTGTCAGCTCCAGCACAGGACAACATCTTGTTGATGCGGATTACGTGGAAGGGGTGGAGCCGCACTCGAATATGAAAACCATCTTTGCCACAGCTTTTCACCATGTACTTGTTGGCACGGATACGGGCAGCCTCCAGGGCTTCAGAGGAAAGCTGCTCATATTCATCTGACACCATGTGGCCACAGAGTGGGAACTCATCCACTTTCGCCTTCTTCCGCCCCAGGTCAAAGATGCGGATCTTAGCATCAGGGACACCTCGGCAGAAGCATGACTTTGGGTACGGCTTGTTCTTACAGTACCGTCAGCCTAGAGAACTTTTTTTTTTATATATATATAAAAACTTTTACATATATATATAACTTTTTTATTCCATATATATATATGGAATTGGTGATGTGTCTAACCCCTTAGCCATCATTATAAAGAGCTTTATCATTTTCTTTAGAAATGCCATGGTTATCACAGCCACTCAAGGCTGACTCCACACATGTGATTGCTCAGAATTGCAACAAAAGAACTCTAACTCTGATAGGGTTTTATCATGCTGAAGGATCTCAAGGCATTTTGAAATCATATTAAAAATAAAGCGTGAGTCAAACTTGAAATGCTCGTAATTCATGAAAGGTTGATGAGCAGGTAATTCATGAAAGGTTGCTCCTATCAACGCGAAGTTCTTGCCTGTGGGGGTTGTGGCATCACTGCTAGAAACACGGGACAATCATGTCGTACAAAACAGAGACAGCATGTGTCCCTGCCTGACAGATGCTGATAAAATGGTGACAAGAATAGCAAGCGACTAAAGGGATTGTTATGCCAAAATCCTCCGTCTGGGACTACAAACGTGGTGTAAGTATCAGCTGCCGTCATATACGATGCTCCCTGCAAATCAACAGACTGCCAAGCCCTGCAGACACAGACGTGCAGTACTGAAAGGCAGGGATTCTAGAACCTACCAAAGGGAAGACATGTAACTGGTAGAGGTGTTAATATCATCAGGCTCAGCATATAGGAAGAGCATGGAAAAGACTTTGAGTGTTGGGGCTACGGACGGAAGCTGGTTAGAGTTAGAAATGAAAACCCTGGCAGTTGTCAGCAAAGAGTTGACAGGAAATAAGATACAGGTAAAGAAATTCAATGTGTGCCAAGAATAGTACACACCTAACTCAAGATGTGTCTTCCTGGATGGCTGGTTCAGTGGTTTACTCACAGTAAACTCTAAATAATCGTGTGTCGAATGAATAAAAAGTTCATCTTTAAAGAAAACCCAATTATGTCAAATTATGTAGGCAATTATAGAATGTATCCCTGCCTTTCTTTTCTTTTTTTCTTTGGTTGACTGTCTTTCTTGCTCACTGGGCTATAAAGGAGAAAAGAGGCCATGTTTTATTGGCTGTGTTTTCAGTGCAAAGACCAGTGTCTTTTAGGTAGAGCAAAGCCAGAGGGCACACGTGGACCTTTCTTCTGAGTAATCAATGAGCAGTATTCACTACAGGGAAGGGAAGAGCCCTGATAATGACGAGGATGAAGATGGCGAGACCCTGCCACCAGCATCCTCAGACGGAGCTGAGAGGGGCAGACTACAGGTGCTGATTTGCATTTGCCATAGCTCTGGGCATGTAGCCACAGTTACCTCCTGGCCACGGTGGGACATGGACAGCTTCTGGCTGTTAACACCAGCTGTTCTACCTGATGAAATCTCCACACGTATGGCCTTCCCAATCTGAGCCCCACAGATCTCACTCCCCATTTTTAACTCTTGCTTTCCCTTCCAGCCCTTCCTGGGAAGATCTTCTACTGTCCTGGGTGAGATGATTATTCTCATCTATCGAGATATTCATCGCCTTGCAGCCCTGGCTTTTGAAACGGAAACTCATCCTCTCTGTGTCTGCTTTATCCTTTCGTTCTCCGTGGCTTCTCGTATCTTAGCATCTACCTACTTTGAGGAAGAAGAAGGTTCGGGACTAAGGGCTATGTTGGTTTTGTTCAACACGCTAGTGTCTGAGCCTAGGACACATGGCTTAATAAATATTTACTAAAGAAGCATACAGAAAATACAGATAGGTTCAACATTCAATCTGTTTTTCTCTCTTACTAGCAGAAGCCCAGTTTTTTTGATATTCTACTATTTATTCTGTCCCAAATTATAGAGCACTTACTTCTGAATTCTCCATGGCATAAGGGTCATAGCAACTTAGTGTAAGTCAACTTATAATTGAAAGGGTTAGATATTGTTTTTTGCATTTCTCTTGTGCCAACTTGTGTCCCTTGGAATGTGGACACAACGTTTCAAAGAGAAGAATCCAGCGTAAGAACACAGAGGGGAAAGCCACATGCTGAGGACAATGGATCAGAAAGCTAGGTGGGCTGTAAGCCCTTAATGGCTTCCTTGAGCACTCACTCAAGGTTTGGACTCTGCCTCTGGACTTACTCACACATGAGAAGTCAACCTTAACTTGCTTAAGCCGTTATAGTGATGCTTCTGTTCCATGCAATCCCAATTCAAAATCTGATTTAGGGAAGTTCACTCCACATCTACAGGTCCTAATTTAATCGTTTTGTCATCAGACTAGACAGTTTCTAAGATCACCAGTTCTAACATGGGTTTTCCTTTAGAATAAAAACAGAATTTGACCAAACACGAGCTTATCTTTGAATTTAAATTATCCTTTTCATTTCTGAAAACCAATGTGCTATGTGAAGTTTTGGGTAACTACTATGTAAAAGACAGTATGCCAGATGGCTTCATTAGCAATATTTCCTTTTTAAATGCACATGTTGTACACATTCTCCATTTTCCATATTTTCCCTGCAATTTTTAAAGTATCAACATGTCATTAATTTAAATGCTTGCGATGAAATATTCATGAAAAGACTAAAAGGGACAGTCTTCAGATTTACTTCTATGCAATCAAATATTATTTTCTTCAGGAAATTGTACTGAAGATCAGATTTGGGGTAGGGCAGGGAAGATGTATAATTTGAGGCAGTGGTTCCAAAATGCCAGTTTACAAACCAATGCTAAATAAACTATACTCACATAACTTGGGCGACTTCATAGACACATCCCAAATCTTCATGGTGAGTAAAAACTTTAACCTTGCCCAAAGAGAGGTCTAGACTTTGCCCTTGGCTTCTGGAGGTAATGTCCAAGCTGGGCCTTGAGCCAGTCTGATATTAGCAATGTCATTAAGAGCAGGGACTATTGGCCACAGGAAAAATGTGGTTTAGGGTGAGGATTTTGGATCACACGGTATCAGCTGGACATCCCAAGGGTATGGAACTGAGATCAGGCACATGGACCATCAACCATGCCTATTTGATGGAGCTCGAATGATGACTCTGGACACCAAGATTCGAGTGAACTTCCCTGGTTGGCAATATTCTCACATATGATTGCTGGCAGTCATTAACATGGTCTGTAACTCCACGGGGAGAGGACATCTGGAAGCTTCATGGTTGCAACTCTTCTAGGCTGTGTGCAACGCGTCTCTTCCCTCGGCTGATTTCGTGCATATCCTGTCCCTGTAACAAACCAGACTGTGAGTGTCACAGCTTTCAGTGAGATCCCGGAGTCCTTCCAATGAATGATCGATGCTGAGGGTCACTTTGGGAACCCCCTGAACTTGCACTTGGTGTTGTAAGGGAAGGCAGGCAGTCTATGGTGGCTGCCTTCCCCAACATGACAGGTCCCTAATTATTTCATACCAGATACTCAGATTCAGTAGGTCCAGGGTGTTTACAGATACCCTGATTTAGAAACCGTATCAGGAAATAAGGTGTGTGAAGCAATTAAAAAAGAACCATTTCTGTATTAATAATCTGTACCATACATATTAACAAAAAGCATTTGTTTATTTAGTTTTTCATCTACTACATTTGTGTGTTTGTGCATGTAATGGTAGACGTGCGGCTAATTAAAATCATTTCTGTAATTATGCAAGTCCAGGGGGAATTTTTCTTAAGAAAACATTTGATTAGGTGAAGTTATTTTAGGTGCTTGACTAAATAAAACATCATTTTCCTTGGAGTAATTTTACATAGTTTAAAACCCTGAATTCAAGTTTTACTGTGCAGCTTAAAGCTGTCTATGGTATCAGTGACGTAATGTTCTAGAAAGGTAATGCATTAAATATAAATCATATAAACATACTACCTAAGATGATCCTAAAATCTATGTTTCTTCTCTAACAATTCTTTAACACTTCTCAAAGGGGTCCCATGGTATCAAAGTTTTCTTGGGACACACTCCTTTCTGTTTTTGTTTTACTTACGTCATGAATTGAAACTTAACCTACATTTTCATACGTGTAACCCAGCTTTGTCATTCAAACTTGTTTAACTCCTCCTTCAGGAAAGAAAAAAAAAGCTAGGGGCCATGGATTTAGAGATTAACATTTTTTAAATTATGCAAAGTAAATAAAATAACGCTCTTGCCTTGGACAGGGAAGATTATTTAAACTACGTTTCGTGTTAGTTGACGTTAATAGGGGATGTTATGGGGGGAACCTCGGAAAATACTAGAAGGTAGGAGGAACATAAGACAAGGAAGGGAAGCAATCAATTAATGGTTACTTATCAAGCCAGTTACTACTGCGCAGGGAACTCTGGGAATCCCTGCAGAACACATGCTTCCGCGTTATCTCAGCGAAGGACAAGTGAGCTGGGATGTTTATGCAGCAGCACATGTCAGTCATTGGCTGATGGCTATCGCTAGGAGATAATCACTCCCTAGCCTATGTGGCCAGCTGTGCTGGTAGGTAGAGAGATTTCTGGCCTCTACGGAAAGCCCTCAAGCATCTGGAAGTCAGACCCCCTGTAGGACAATGGAAAGGCCTCCAAGGTATGGGCAGGGGCATAGGCAGTTTTTACTCTATGGCTGATGCATCCTGGCTACCAGGAGTGGTTGAAGGAAACAGACTCAAAAGAGAGTTCTGTGATTAGTGTAGCTACAATTCATAGCCTTGAACGCAGTGGGAAATCATGCTTTGTAATAACACGTGTCATGCAACAGTATCATGACTGATTGGAAAACCACCTGAGGCTGATTGAAATCAAGTGTCTATTAAACAGGAAATAGCTCGGCAGGCCAAGTGGCTTGTGTGGATTAATCTATGGCAGTAACGAGTACGCTACGGACTGGGGAGTCGTATCATTATTTTTGAAGGCACTGGAGAGAGAAAAGAAGGAAACAAATATTAAGCTCAGAACGTTAAGCTCTGAGTTCATATGATGGTCAGAGACCTTGAACTTTTCCATGGAGCCTTCGTATCTTAGTTCTTTTAGCAGCAGGTCCAGCCGATA